GATGCCGCTGAAAGAAGTTCCTTCGTTCGTTAGCCGTCTTCGACAGTTTGTCAGTGATCTTGCAAATCTCCATGTCCCAACTATCGCAGCACTTGACGGGATCGCTCTTGGTGGTGGCTTGGAAGTTGCACTCGGTTGCGATATCCGTGTTGCATGTTTGTTTCAAGCTAATCATCTTATTCTTTATTCTCTCATTATTTTAAAGGCTCATGTAAAGAGTTATCAATACTTTATGTAATTACTGAGGAATACTGTATTCTTTACGTAGGCTGTCGTGTTGGCAGACGGTGTTTGTTTTTTCTTTTTGAAAGTTTCAGTGGCAATTGTTTGAAAAATTAATTTTTTTAAAACTTTTTGTTAGTTACATGAAAGGCTTGGAAGGCTTTAAAAGTAATGACCAGTTAAATGGAGTGACTTAAAAGATTGGAAGACAGAAGAACTCTTAATTGGCTTGATTATACTTCCTGAATGCTAGTGCTTGAAAGTGATCGTTATGGCAGGAGAATAAAGCAAAATAGTTCCTAACGGCCATAGCTGCTTGAAAAGTTTGTTAAAATGGATATCATCAAATTTGTCTTTAATCGGTTTTCTTTCTTCTTAATTGCTGAAAGAAGTTTTTTTTGGTAATGTCTTTGGAAACACAGCTGCATATAAGTTTTCAGTTTGCCTAGAGAAGAAAATGATTAATTTTGAAAGATCTTTTGATACCGCTAACTCTGAAAAAGATTTTTTAATTAATAAAGTTTGTTCTATTTTATGCTTACGGCCACCTTATCAGTTGTTTGTTATGTTTTTTTTACGGCTACTTGTTTTAAACTTTTAATGAAATAAAATATTATTTAGCCACATCAGCTCGTCTCGGTCTACCCGAAGTGAAGCTAGCGATTTTTCCTGGTGCAGGTCAGGTTGCATAATCACATTTTCCTGATAGCTTAACAACTACCTTTGCCTTATTTAATTACTACTGTTTTTAATTTAGTAAGCTTTACTTTCATTTAGGTGGTACACAGCGGCTAACGAGAATTATTGGCATTGCAAGGGCGAAGGAACTAATTTTTACTGGGAGAATTTTAAGCGCTACGGATGCAGAACGCATTGGGTTGGTGAATTGTGTTGCAAATGAAGAAATAACATCTGCATACCAAGTTTCACTTGATATGGCCTCCTTAATACTAAAAGGAGTATGTCTTTCATCTGGTATTTTCTATATTAAAATTTGTTTTAAATAATGCTATTCAACAAGAAGAATTTCCTCTCCGTTCTTATCTTTCCTTTGCACTGCACCACTTGGTGGCAAAAAATGAAGGAAATAAATCTTGCTGGTAAACTGGGAAAGGAAACTGATGGAGGAGTGAGCAAAGGTAAATGAGGAGGAGAGGTAAATTTTCCTTAAAATTTCTTATTTTGAAATAAACCATAAAAGGTGGGTGAAAAGCAGTAATAAACAATATTCCAATTTCAAGGGGTCAGACAATATTGGACAGAAGCTCTTTTAATAAGCGAAAAAACCAAATTAAGCTTAGTCATTAGCAAACAAACTCATATTGCTCATTTCTTTTCAAAGACAAATTAATAACTGGAGGAAAAACAAAAAGGCATGACTCTCTGGCAAAAGGGGTTGACAAGCAACCATAGTCATTAGCACTTATGTTTTTTTTTTTTTTTTTTTTTTTTTTTTTTT